GCGTGCCCAGGTGGCCAAGAGGGCCAGCGGCCTTCTGGCTTGTATTAGGGACGGTGTAGCCAGCAGGGGCAGGGAAGGGATTGTCCCCCCGTACTTGGCGCTGGTGGGGCTGCACCTCGAATACTGTGCTCAGTTTTGGGCTCCTCACTACAGGAAGGACATCGAGGTGTTGGAGTGTGTCCAAAGAAGGGCAACAAGGCTGGTGAAGGAGCACAGACCTTATGAGGAGCGGCCAAGGGAGCTGGGGTTATTTAGTTTGGAGAAGAGGAGGCTCAGGGGAGACCTTATTCTCTACAGCTACCTGAAAGGAGGTTGTAGTGCTGCAGGGGTTGATCTCTTCGGCATAATAACTATGGATAGGACAAGAGGAAATGGCCTCCAGCTGTGCCACAGGAGATTCAGGTTAGGTATTAAGAAAACAAAATCTACACAGAAAGAGTTGCCAAGCATTGGAACAGGCTGGCCAAGGCAGTCATGGAGTCACTGTCCCTGTCAGCATTCAAGAAATGTGTAGATGAGACACTTAGGGACATGGTTTAGCTGGCGTGGTGATGGGCTAACAACTGGACTTGAAGGTCTTTTCTGACCATAATGAGTCCATGATTCTGTGAGTGCTGGCAAGGCTTATGTGGGCCCTGCTTGCTGCTACAAGCTGCTTCAGTCTTTAAATTCCCACTCAAGCTAACTCACGTTAGTGACCACTCCTAGCGAACTCGTTGCCCACACGACCTTGATCCCAGCTCCCTCTTGATACTGCTGTGTCATGCACTGAGAACAAGGAAGAGCTGCTGGGCCTGCCCTGAGCAAGAGAAATGCCGCCAAAACCATGTGGGACTTTGCATTCATTTCTTATTCCAACAGCGTCGTAAAAGGCAACACCATTAGTATGTGGAGCGCAGGGCGCATGTTGGAGCTGAACAGCGCCGGCCGCTCCTGACACGGCTTCCTGCTGTTGTGGGTTTCCGTTTGGTTTTGCAAACGTTAATAAGGAAGAGGTAGCACCTTTTATTAGGCCAGTGGGTTCGACAGGAAAAGTAGGCAACCATCATGGCAAGCAGGTCTTGCCTCAGGCTGAGCTTTGGCATACGAGCCTACTGCAGAAGAAAGGTTTTGGAGACAAATGAGCTGATGGCAAGGATGCCAGTAAATAGAGTAGGCACTGGTTCCAGTGATACATTTATTTCCTTTCTTAAAATTGTGATGTCCAGTTTATTAAGTAGCCAAAAACTTATACACCAGAAATGTTAATGCAGCTGTACATTGCTTACTGAAAAGCGATGCCTGAAAATATGATCTTAGCAAAAACACAACTATTTCTCCAGATTTTCACCCACTGCTCCAAGTGGTTTTAATTTTTAGTTTGAATAAAAGGAGGTGACTTTGTGAAGAAATTAATTCTAGATGTTTACAACATCCAGAGCAACAAACATTAAGCAACAAACAGCTTAATATTTGAAGACAGCCGTAAAGAACAAATCCAACAGTAGTATAAAGTGCAACATACATTCTTTTAATTCTTAATGTTTACCGTAATGCATGATTTGACTTCCCCGTAGTGTATATATTTAACAATCAAAAAGAACACCTCTGGATTTCCCACCACCACCTGCCTACCCTTCACTTGATTTTGTATGTCTTGAATCTCTTTAATTATCTCAGTGGATTAATTTATACCTACGGAGAGCTTTTTTCCTAATGAATTAAGGAATCTTTAGGGAACATGAAGAAAAGACCTAGTCACAGAATCAAGGAGATCAACTGTAGAGCTCTTCAGAACAGAAGCGGTCTCCATCTTTGTATTTTAGAGCAAATGCAAAGCCATTGATCATAAAGAAAGGTCATTGCTGTTTGCTTAGAACAGATGGACAGCTCTGCTTCATCTGGAATATAAAAGCTACCCCTTAAAATGCATAAATCTTGTCTCAAGGACCCAGATGTTCTTTGCAAGCTCTTCTCCCTTGTAAAATGCACACATAAAGTGCACACATAAAATGAAGTATGTGCTTTGCTCACAATTCAAGACAAAATGAGGCCAGATTTAGCTTGTCAGCTTGTGGTTCTCACCTTGCCTCCATGTACTACAAGCAATGTCATCATGTGGAAAGCATAGATAAAGGCTGCAGTAATAGACTGTGGGCTGGTGTTTGTGGCACTTTGTAAATTAACTGCTTTCTCTTGATACAAACATTTTGCTCAGAGTTTACACACAGTGACTCTGAATATGTGAACAAAAAAATACTGACCTTCAGTGACTTGATGCTCAAACTGTGCTCTGCAGGTTAGCATAAGCTCCGAGTTTTCAGCCTGCGGGAACCAGAGCAGAGGATGGGCTCCTTCCATACACGAGTGGCACACTCCTGTGGAAGAAGGTCCAACAACTCATGCTGCAGCTTGGCTCGCACCTCACGAGCCACCCGCCACAGGCCAGATGGTGACGAGGTGTCACGAGGAGCGAGGCACTGTTCTGCCAATGCTGCCCCCAGAGGGACATGAAACAACGGGGAGGCTCTCAGGTTTCCAGCACTAAGTAGGATGAGACATATGGCTTGGACATTTGTCATGGGGCTGTGCCACGTGTGCTAGAGGCTCCAGGAGGGCATGGGGACCTTCTGTCGCTCTGAGATCTGGACCCAGAGTAGGACTGTCTTAAGGGAAAAAAAGCCATGGGGGCAAGTCACCGTGGCAAACAGCACCTCTTCAAGGAAGTCAGCGGAGGAAAATAAGCCATGCAAAAATATCAGGATACGTTTCCAGGGAAAAGAAAATTCCTCTGGCCAAAGCTTCAGAAGAGAAACAGGTGGAGGTCGGGAACCCTGGAAGCAGGATGAAGGATCCTCGAGATTCCTTCCCCACACGTGTATGCAGCCAGGTTCGGCTTGGGCCAGCGTGCCAGAACTGCCCATAAAGTGGAGAGATTGTCCTGGCAAGCCTGGTTCATATGGAACAAGCAGAGGCTCTGAGTCACAGGCTTCATCTAAAAACAGGACTGGGAACCCTCTCTGTGAAAATATTGAAGGTAGAAAATTAAAAGTAATTTTTTGCAGGGCACCAGTTCCTTCAGCTACTTCTGTTCTGACTCACAAAGTAAGAATTTGTTATCAGTTTGATCAGAGAGTGTTTATGGGATAAAAAGCCTCACTGGAACTCACTAGGATCCCAGCATCCACTCAAATCCTAATTTGTGACAGGGCTTTCTTGGGAATATACCTGTAACTTAAGCTTAAGTAACTAAGCAGTGCTTTTAGATATAAGAGGTGAATAACTCTGCAATTGGGAAATGAAGTTCTTAACTAATAAAGCACAAGTATTATTATAGCATGAGTATTGCAGTCCGTTTTGGCTCCAGAAAACCTCCCATCTCCCCTCCCTGCTGAGATCATTAATGGACACCAGAGATAGAGACTGAATTAGAGAAACAGACCTTCCTCAGTAAACTATCAAGCAATTTTGAATAGAGAAAAAAGTGTTTTTCTGCTACTGTAGACAGCGAGCATCACAAGGTAGGCCAAAGGAGGAGGCTCTGACGTGGCCTCGTCGGCCTGCGATGTAGCACATGGGTGCTGCTGCCCAAGGTCCCCAAGCACAAAGTGGCCTGAACATATGGACACTCACTCACAGGATGGCTCTGGGAGGCCAAGGTGCTGCCTGCACATCAAAGGCAACAGCTTAATGCTGCACAGGGTGTTGACAGTCTCATCAACACCCTTCATTAACAATAAAATGTGTGACCTCTCTCTCTGAATTTTTTTTTTTAAACACCATCCTTACAAGTTTGACAAGTGTTTTGAAATTCATTGCAGTGGAATACCTATGTACATTGAAGAAAGTGGCTTTATTAGCGTAAGAATAAGTGCAAGAATATTAGTGCTCTCCCCATATTATCAATATTCTAATCTACTTAGAAAGAGACACAAGCAAAAGTGGCAAATACTCATCTGGCAACTTTTGTTACACTCATTGAGCAATAGCTGTGTTTTAGAGTGCACTTACCCTTACAAGGAAAAGAAAACCGGCCTTGTTTGCACTCACACAATCTACTCAGATTAATGTTTAGAGTACGTAGGCACACAATCTACCAAGGTCTGACTTGGTACAAATTAATAAGCACTCATCACAAATCTCTCTCTACACGGCCAGTGGAGATGGCAGAGTCAATAGGAGTTAGGCACCTGTCCTCTTCGCTCCTGTCTTCCCCATTAAAGATCCGAAACAAGCATTTTATTTTATATTAATTTCTTCCCCCTGCTATCTCCACTTCTAACCAGAGGAAAGTGCAGAGGCACTAGAATTTGAATAGCAAGAGAACTCACTGCCTAGCAGGTAGCACACACCAGAGTACTACTAAACCTAAAGTGTTCTTAATTTAGGATTTGAAAATTGTGCGTCTCGAAACTTACCTGGAACACATATATTAAGAAAAAAAGCGAGAGGAAAAAAAGGAACAAGAGCCTTCACAAGTCCAATTAAAAATTTATTTTTTTGCAAAGTACTACATGTTTATACACAGTGTGACAGAAAAAAAAAAGTAGCTGGATACTTATGCTGCAAGTGTCCTTAATAGCAGAATATAAACAAAGAAAAAGAAACCCACGAACTTTGGATATTTCATCCAGCACCTCTGGTTTTACTGATTTTTTTTTCCTTAGTATAGGATTAGAGCACTCCAAATATAACCCACAGAAAAATGTGTAATAATACCAGTGTATTTTTGGCAAAAGTGCTGGAACCTGCCCTCCCTCCCCTCTAATGATTCAGTACATTAAATAAAAAAAAGACTCACTGACACTTTCATTTGACTTAAGCACATTTTGAAACACAGTGCATACTCTCTTGTTTTTGCTATAAGGCTAGCTTAGATATAAGGCAAATATTACCTTAGCTCTCAAATACTCCATGATTCCCTAAGACACCTTTAGCACAGGTACCTGTTTCCTCCAGAGACACTCCGTTTCCTTCATTTTAATTCAATGCTCTCCCTCCTGATCAAAAAAATACAGATCAAGGAGAAGGTGTGCTATCTTCATCACAAATTGCAAAGTACTAAAAAGTTACAAAGAAATAGCAATGAACAAAAATAAACAGTATTCACATTCTCAAAAATGGTTTTGTCGCTTAAATAACTTTTATCTGCAATTACAAAATACATACACTTAAATATCTTTGTAAGAAATAATCACAAAAGATCTCAATCACAGATTATGTTTTACCTTTGATAATCTAACTGCCCTAATTCTGGCCTCAGGGATATACCTGGACAGTGTTACTACCTAAGACTTTTCCTTAGTGTAATTGATTTTCTTAAATATACAGTAAATTCTCTCTAACTATTCAGACAGTGCAAATAAAGACATTCTTTGGGTCACAATTTTAAAATATTACCTCCAACGTTATATTCAATTTAACACCATTTTAGTAAATAAATGAGTAACAAAATACTCTAAGTATTTTTTTAACATTTTCTAATAGCAATAATATATTTTCTTACTTATCTCTGTTTAAAAGCAGATCACGAAAAAAAGCTACAATACTGCCCATCTATCCAAAAGATATGCTCTATTTATAGTTAAATAAATATATTTAGAAACATTTTCCAATGCTTTCCATTTATGGTTAGCATCCCACGGCATACAACACCGAATCATGATACTAAAATATCTTTAGAGACAAAGATGACTTCAGCAGAACTGCGCAGCGGCGATGCGGCAATGCTCTGGGAACCCTACGCACAGAAGTTAAGCCGACAGACACCCAGCACAGTCTACAGCAGAACAGCGCGCGCAGCTTTGGAGTCAGCTACTGCTCTGCCCTACCAGCAACGAAGCGGCTTGTGGCAAACGGGAGCACGGCAGCCCGCGGGGCCCGCGCACCACCATGTAATCCACCTTGCCCTCCAGTTTCACCAGGCGCTGCAGGATGTCGTCCAGAAGGACAGCAATCGTTCTCTTAAGATCAGCTGGAAACGGCAGCAACAGTTAGGTCCTATTACTAACTGTGTGGAGAAAAGAACTCCTATTTTGACATATTTGCATCTTATCTTTTCAATAGAATCTCCCAGAAAATAATTCAGGAAGGAAGTCATCGAAGACTTCAAATAATAACAAACTTAACAGATGACACATATTTTTGACACTCCGTAGTGCCACAAAGGCAGGACATTTTGGCACTGCCCTCCTCCTCCCAGCCTCCCTGGCTGCTTTCTGCTCATCTAGACTTGCCTCCTACTTCCTGAGCTGCAGCAAAGAGTTCAGGTACACTCCTGCTGTTAGTCCTCTTAGAAGGGTACCTACAAGCTTATTGGACTACTGGTAGAAACCAGCCTCTTAAAGATTCCACAGGAAAGAAGTATTCAAGTATATTAATATAAATCTTAAAATATAAAACCAAAACATATATTTTTCATTATTTCTTTTTAAGCCTTACATTACCCTTATTTTCACGGATATATCTTTATTTTTGACAGAACATAGACAGCTAGTTCCTTCAAACCTAACACCTAGGGGATTAACCAGGAATTCAGAGTAGGCTTCCCTCAAGAGAAGCTACAGGGCCTTGAAGCTGAAAGGTCGTAATTACCAAGAAAAGCTGTTTTCATGGCCTTGGTAAGCGCAACTCAGGAAATTAGCAATGAGGACTAATTCACTGAGTTTTGAGTTGTGTCTCAAACAAACTCTTCTACAAAAGCCTTCTATTCTCAAGTGTTACATTTCACCACATCTTAAATTTCAGCTGCAGTGAATAAGCTAAAAATCAAATCAGTTAATCTTGGAGGTTTTTTTTTTTGCTCTCAAAGTGCAGTTAACATTGCCTGAAGAAGAAAAAAAAAGTGTATATATATATATATTTATATATTTCTACAGTTTTCAAGGAAACTGTATTTGAACAACCAGCATCCTTTTTCTCTTACCATATCCTGCCATAGAAGCTCCGCTGCCACCATTCATTATTTTTTTATTTTCTTCTGCAAGTGCTTTGACGTATCTTTTACTTAGGTCTAATATCTGTTCACGCAACTCGCTGCTGCTTTGGCGCCTGGGATACTGGAATGTGTAGCGTAGCAACATCAAACCCCAAATGATTCCAAAAACTAGCAAAAATAAACTCAGTTTCTGGGATGCACTTTTTCTTGAAAATGTTAAAAACATTTCTGATGAAGGCCTTGGATGTATCTTTATTTTGAGATAAGAAATTGAAGCTGATTTTGTCAAATTATTTTACATACTAAACAAAAAGACAACTTCTACAAAGTGAAAAATCCTGCGGCGGGGTCATCTTGAATACATCTCTTCCGTATTGCTCTTGATTCCTGAAATTTGTAAAACATTACTTGATTATTCAAAACTGCTTAAAAACTGCCATATTTGTTGACATCAAGGAAAAATACCAGTTTCCAAATGTAATCCTACTGCATAGTCTATAAAACAGATGTGGATTTATATCTGCTTAGAAGTATACTTATCTTTACCTCGCATGTTGTTACAATGTTTCCTCTTCTTATTTCTGCCATTTTTCCTCAAAAATACATAAATGCTTCTACTAATCATCTCAAGTGTTTTAAATACCATAATTGGAAAGCACATTACATTCAAATGCATTTTAAAAGGCCTCTCTATAAAAGTTTTTCAATACATACACATTCTGAGTTACGTAGATATATCTATGAAAAAAAATGATTTTGTGAAATCATTCGCTTCATTTTTATACTTCACTTAGAAGCAAAAGATAAGTAAGAACAATAAAATGCAGAACAGAGATTCTTAAACTAATCCTGTGCATCAGCCCAGCATAGCATTAAGAAATTTCTCAGTTTAGTGTTTTGCTAATAAGTAAAACCAATAAGAAGTTCCACGCAGTCTTAGGATCTTGAGAGTACTCAAACAAACAAGCAAGCAAATAAAAAATAAAGAAAATATATATAAAAAAAAAAAAAAAAAAACTTACCATAGGAGCCAATTTTGATCCCTCAATAAATCAAGGCTTCAGAAATACAGCAAATGGTAGGAAAGCTTCCACAGTTAGAAGGGGAACCTCCAGACGGTTTGAAACAGTGAGGCAGACATCTTCAGAAGGCTCTGCGTTTACAGAAAAAAAAAAAAGACATTTGAACATGAAAACTTGCAGGACTAACACAACTAAAATTTTCACATGGAAGTGCCTGAAGGTGAACACTTCAAGCCCCATGCTTTTAAAACTGAATTATATTTTAAAGCCTAACTTGGAGCAACCATTAGGGGGTAAAAAAAATTAGATTCCGGTCCCATTTGGTTATAAATGCATACATTTGAATGCCCAAGAATTGATGTCAACACAGGGTGTATATGTACCCTCTTTCTCATTTTCCATTAAATGAACCTTTTCAGTCTTTTCACATGTGCATTGTTACTTCACATTTCTCATTTTTCAGCCATCTCCGAAACTTGTCCACTTATGCAGCACCTTTTTTTGTGAGAAAGTTATTATTGTTTCATCCAGAAGTCTTGATAAAACTATTTATTTGATATAATAGTATGTTTGCCACAGTAGCCTCCATCCCTTCCCACCTTCAATCTGACATCAGTACTTTGGACTGCAGCTACACATTTAGCAGAGCTCCCTACTGGGATTTCCACAGTGCTACTTCTCAGGCCTCTGTTTTCAATCGATAGGATTAGTTTAGAATATTTAGACCATATTTCTCAACGTGCTAACCACTGATCTAAACTTAACAGAGCTCCACAGTGTTTTTCATCACCTCACCTGTCCACCTGACCGAGTTTTATGCTGCTGTACATTGGTCTACTGCCCACACAAGCGGCAAGGGTGTTCTCACTTGGGGCTTACCTCCCGCGTTCATGTTTCTGCTGGAGCTTTGCGCAGGCAGGCCAAAGGGACAGACACAAGTGGCAAAGATAGCCAATGTGCAATAAATTTAGCATCCCACCTCCTACCATGACTTCAATGCGTTGTTTTTTTAATTCAGAAAATGTACTTGTCCCCTCAAAAACCACTTTTAAGATAAAAAAAGAAAAAAAGGAGACTTTTAAAAATATGAAATAGAGAAGCAACCACAAAGATGTGATCTGCCATAGTATCAGCTATGGATATGTGGGACAGAGCCTCCCCAAACACAGGCTAGCCAAGACTCCTTTTCCCTAGCTCTTTGCAAAATCCAGGGCTCTGCCTTGGGCTTCGAAGTGTGAACTGCACCTCTGTCATTCTGCATCTACGCAGTCCCTCAATGGTGTCACGTAGGAGAGAAACACTTGTAGGTTAGGTTCAGAAAGAGGGTATTCACACGAGGGCTGAGAAGCAAACAGCATCTCTCAAAGAGAAAACCACAAGTTTCCAACCTCCCTCCTCAAAGATCTGTTTTACACACATAAATATTTCAACCTCTGTTATTTGGAAGCTGAAAACACCACAGGTCCTCTTTGCAGGGTTGTAGTGACTTTCTGCTCTCCACAGATCTTCTCCACGCAAACCTCATCCCGAAAGCCTTTAGCGGACACGATTGCTGCAGAGCTCTGGAATGGGAATAACGCTGCTGTCACACTATAAACGAGATCACGAGCCAGCAGCAGAGTCCCAGCCAAGAGGAACAGATTGAGTAAACTCCTGCCAAGGAGCAGGAGGAACTACAGGCTGGGCCTTTGCCATGTGTATTGGGATTCACAGTGCACACACAGAGCTACCGAGCCTGGTGAAGAGCAAGGATTTAGTGTTGTGGGCATATGGCATAACACCCAAACACTGACACTGGACAGGGTGAAAGAGGTACTAAAATAAACAGGGCTGTTTGCACCAGCCACTCCTCCAGTGCGGCAAAGGCATTTTATTGAATTTCAGCAAAGCTGCAAAGTTCTGCAGAGAAGAGATCTGGTCTCCTCCTCCTCCTTTCTGATACATGCACATCTCCTAGTATCCCTCAGCACACTCCTGTCTGCAAGACCCTTCCCAAGGTTATGCAGGACAGAGCGACAAGATGAAAAACAAGGTTATATTAGTGTGATTTGCAAGTAGGGAAAAAAAAAATGCATGGAAGGAGCAGATGTGCATATTCAGAAGAAAATAGTGCAATAAGAAGGAGAGATTGTTTAAGTTTTACCTCTTGTTGCTCTAAAAGGTCAGTACTACTTTGCACAAATACCTCCGATTTAAAGAAAACCTGCCTACAGAATGGACCTTTTTCAGTAGCTCACAGGTACTATCCCATGAGGTAATGGTATGCTTTGGAAGGAGAAGCCAAGTCTCCTGCCATCTTCCTTTTCTCTCATCCTCTTGGTTTCTCCTTCTCTGCCACTGCCTAAGACTTTCTTCTTCCCTGACTCAGCCCAGCAGGACCTGCAGGTTCACTGCTCTCCCAGCCTGGAAGTGCTTTACGGGAACGGAAAATTCAAAGCAGGGCAGGAAGTAAAGGCAGAAGGGACATGGAGCTGGGCATGTTTTACATTCTTACCACCCCTTCTGAGACAGAAGGGGAAGGCTGAAGATGGAGGGATACAGCCAAGATACAGTATGAAAGTCTGAGGAGGGAATGTAGTAAAACTGAGATGACTATGCGGGCAGAAAGGCAACTGCAGGACTCTGGGAAAAGTGAGAATATTTCAAACTTATCTTCAACTAGAGACAATTCAAATATATATATGCATATCTATCTATCTACCTCTGAGGCTAGACTTGCCCTTCATAAACACACGCAGTTTGCTTCTCGCCACCGCCGCTGCTGCCGAGCTCTGGCGCAAGGAGCCTGCCAAGCGCAGGGCTCCGGGGACGCGGCCACCCGCGCGGCAGCGAGCGCGGCTCGACCTGGCCCACGGCAGCCTCTGAGCTGTGCTCCCGCACCACAAGCACGGAGTGACCATCAGCGCACGACGCAAAAGGAGAACAAAGGAAAAAAAAGTTACAATCCAATAGACACTCTAAAACTAAAGCAAAGTTTTAGTATCTCTTACTAGTAACTGGTTACTGCTTATTAACTCACCAGTAATACCAGACCTAGGTTTGAATACTGTTTGTACTCCATGGAAATCACCCTATTTTTGCAAAACATCACATTTCAACCTTGTTGCAAAGATTTCTTCACATTCTGCTTTACTTATTCCCAGTAAACACCAGAGCCCATATTCACATACAACACCAAACACAGCAATTCCCTAAGCAAGGAGGAACCCTACGCACCTTTGGAAACAAACCTAAGGAGTTTGAAAACAAGGAGGGGATGGAAAAAAAGGCAGATTCAAATACCTTAAAGGTCACAATGTACCTTATTCCTTTGCCCTTTCAGCTCATGAAGGCAGCTGAGCACTGCAGTGAGCAGCACTTAGAGGACATATGAGGCAGTGGCAGGTTCCTCATCTCAGCTCCCTAAAAATATTTTGTCAGCATTTTTCTGGTCTGGACAAAAGGAACCCGTCCTTCCTGAACTGCTATGAGTGGTTGCAAGCATCAAGAGGGTAAAAAAAAATCAAAACTGTTTTTAAAACTGTGTGACATGTTCCTTAAAAAAAAAAAAAAAGATGGATGGATGGAGATGACTAGCTACAAGAAAGGAGCAGGCTACCTTAATTCTGCATCAGGTATTCTCAGCAGTAATGCTGTTATGCTTTAGCAAAAGCATAACAAAAGCTGGCTGCAAAATAGAGCCAAAAGGAGGAAAGAACAGCGAAAATGAAAGCCACATTCAGAGCCTTAAGCACTGTATTTATGCCATTACACTCAAGGTTACAAAGATTTTTAAGGTAAGGCCCCCAAAATGCATTGAAAATAGTATCACTAGCATATTGTCCAATAAAGCCACCTCTTTGCTTATGTAAATTTGAAAGATACAATACCAAATATTCAGGCAGTAGCTCCTCAGGAATACCCTAGAGACTTATACAAAGAGTTAGGTCTTTAAAGAACTGATATATTAAGAAAGAAACTTTGATAAATCGGAATCTTACTCAATGTGTTACTTGCTACCATAATACTAATCTGTTCCTCACTGCCAAATTATGATCAACAGCAGTCTGACACAGTGAATTCACAAGCAAGCCTGGCTTTGTGAATAATTGTCATTATTAACTATATAAACAGCGAGAGTGATTTATAATGACAGAGATAACAAAAAGGGACCTGCCAGGTACTGTCATAGAAGGCTGCATCCAACTAACATCACAAAGACGAAGCAGGTGGAGGGAATCTTGGGGAAAAAAAAGGCAGAAA